AAATACGGGTCTCTCTGAATCGTTTACAAACATATCTCGTCTCTCACTCGAAACCCGCACTGTCCCTCTACTGTGGTGCTTACGTTCTTAAATATTATTTTACAAAGTGCTGCCTCAGCTCATTTGCTTCGTTGGCCTAAAATTACGCAATTTAAACATTTAGCTAAAAGAAGTAATATTTATCTATTATCATTAATTGGCACATGCCACATACAACGGAAGGTATATACAATTTATTATAAAGTATTAATTTAAGTTATGAACGACATTAACTACTATAGAGAAACAACTTTTATTAATACTAATTAAAAGCTAGATGCTGACAATGTGAATTGCCAATGGACACAACATACTAATCAATACATAAAAACATAGGCACAGAATGAAATGTATTGTAATTGTTAACAATATGGTGGGTATAGTATGATAACATATAATAGCTATAGGGTTCAGTAGTTTTTATACATATTAGTGGCCAAGGGGGGCCCAGGCTCTTCTGGACCCCCCTTAAATCCGCCACTGCTAGAGTTTATGACAATCTCTAAATTTAACAATTAACTATTTAATAAAATTCATATGTAACATAATCGAAAGGGACTTATTTTACTATATGAATATAAATGGTAATTTATTATGTATGGTGAAACCTTCAAAACTGATATACATAATTTGAAAAGCTCCTGCATAGCGAGGTTGTGTGATCGGAAAAATGGCTTTAGGAACCCTGAGGCTGTATCCCGGCTCCAAACCAAAGTCGAAAAACTTACCGATTTGCGATACTATACTGTTGTTGAAACAATGGAATGCACGGCCTATAGATACTTTTCTTTTCTTCGTTTACTGCATTTTTCTGTTGCGGGTCATTTGTTTCCCAAGCCCAACGGATTGTCGGGTACAGAATAAGGCCGTGGTTTTTACTTATTTCTATAACGATGATGTCTGTATTTTAAACGACTGTGTAAAAAATCTTTAATGGAGATTAAGATAGGGTAAATCTACGAGAATTTGTCACACGAGAAGTTTTGAACATCACTAGCTACATTAGGTATTAAACAACGAATTAAACACAAATTTTGAATCATAAATAGTTGGTATTTTTAACGGAATATGAAGTGCACGGGTATCAGTTATTATTATAACATTTAATATAAATTACTAATAATACGTAAAAGCGTAATATTATACTTTATTTAATGTAAAAAAAAATAGTGCATCAAATGCTGGCTTGAAAATCTGGTGAGGTCAATAAAGTCTAATCGATT